GGGAACGTGCAGCGTCGGGCACAGTCTGCATATGACCCATGACGACAGTAAATCCCGCGTGCGAGCCGCAGTGTCAGAGCCCTTCGGCATCTGTGAGATCCTCCCACGGAAGCAGCAAATGGACCTGGACGTGGAATAATCATCGTACGTGTGCGCTTAGTTTTTAAAATGCCAAGAGTTACAACAAATAAAGAGCCCGGTTATCCTTCGACCGGCTGGAAACCTGGTCCCCTAGGTCCCTCCATACACACGCAATTTGCCCACCTGCTGGGCCGTTGACTCAGACACTATATTTGTGGAGACCTCATCCCATGGCACGTGTGGCCCGAGGAGCTTGCTGTCGAGGGCAAGAGGCGACACCAACACCGGACAGAGAATGAGATGTGCTGGGGTGCAGGGTCGGAGGGGACTGTGCTCCATCAGGGACGAGACCAGGTGGTCGGTGTTTGTGAATTAAGGTGATCAGTGTTTGAAAAGATGCCAACGGTGATTAGTGAGCCTGCAGGCTGAGGTGAGTGAGGACCTGGTGGAGCCATTTAATTGAAACAATAAAGGATAATGTTTCCCCATCTCAGACTCGGGGGTCCCTGCATTCAGGATGGGGTGTAAGGACTGGGCTCTCTGCTCCGCCTGCAAGGCCATCCGAGTAAGAGTCCGCGCAGGCGTGGCAGCCTCGGCCTGCACAGCGCAGTCGTGGGGACATGGAGCTCCCAGGCTCTCTGGTCCGGTGGCAAATAAAGCGAGGCTGTGAGTGCCGTGCGTGGCTGCGGGTGGCCCTGCTCCCAGGTCCCGGGCAGTGCTGTGGGCACCACCTGCTACAGGCTGATGGAGCCTGGAAGAAAGACTGCTGCAGGGGCCTGTCCCCACGGGGGGGGCATCGCTCTCTGTCCCATGGGGGGGGGACCTCGCTCTCTGCCCCGCATGGAGGGGGGACATTGGAGGGGCGGAGTGTTGTGGGGGATCCTCGGGAAGGCCCTGAAAAGCTGGAGGGTGGGAATAACCCGAGGACACCCTGGAAGATGTCAGCCTTTCTGAGGGAGCATAGCATGCATCTCACCCAGAACCCTTTCTCAGAGAGCAGATAGATGCACATGTGCAGGCGCGTAC